AGTCACGTACAGTCGATCGCGTCGACCGGACAATTGTATCACCTATTCGCATTGGAACGTTTATCCCGCTCTCTCGGCATCTCTGGAGAAAAGAGGGGTAGTAAAATAAAAACTAAAAATAAAAATAGAGAAAGAGCCGTGGAGTAAAAAAATCAGCGCCGAATAGAAGCAGGATTAATCCAACTCCCAAAGCACCGTAAATTTATTCCGATCCTGTATTCCGCGCTGGTGTGCATTTGCCCTCTTTCTTTGGACTGCTCTCGGTGGTACTCTATGGCTCTTCGTTTTCCTCTTTACTGCGTTTGAAAAAGAGTGAGGTTGCAAGTGGAGACATACAAAGGAAGCTTACCGTTATCCTGGTCACGTCTGTCTAGTTTTCTTTTCTCATTTTAACTTTTTTTTAATTTTATTTTTTTTATTTATTTTTTTTTTTTTTCAGTACCTTCGTTTTACCTCACAATACGTTCTATCGTCTTTTTCGTCAGACGAGTTAAAAGGTCGGCTTTTTCGGTAACAATAAAACAACCTATTGTTTCTTTTCAGTCACAACCACGATTTATTGCCTTTAAAATGCGCTATTTCAAGAAAATTGAGTAAGATATCTTTCATAAAATAAAGGGATAGGACAGAGGACCCGAACTGTTTGTTAAAACCGGAATATTAAACTTCTCTTATTTTTTTATCGCTCTGTTATGGATAAAAAAATATTTATTTAATGGATGTAAAGAGTATGATTGAATATTTATGCATTGTCGATAATAGAGCTGCCAATTTATGATGCACTTAAAGAGTTTTTTTTCTACGCATCCAAATCTGTACTTTTCCTTTTTTGTATAATGAACAAAATGAAGCAAATAGAAAATAATATTAGACCTGTCTTATAAAATTAAAAAAAACGATTTTTTCGCTAGCCTTTAAAATATTCAGGCCAAAGAGTTATGGTTCTAATTTCTGGAGCTTCCTATATGAATTTTTTGCCATGTAAAGAGAATTATAAAATATGTGGCTTTTCATGTAAAGCCCTTATTCGAGCTTATGAAGGAAGGTTTTATAAATTTAAAAGTTAACATATGGATTTTTTTATTTTATAAATTTATGTCGGTATTGAAACGTCAATATTTATCTTTTTATTTTTATACGAAAATTCGCGAGAATTCGCCTCCATAAATAATACTTATTGTTTTATTATATTATTTCTTTTTGGTACTTCTAAAAAGAAACTCAATTAATCAATGAATAAATTAATTTAAAATTTTTGTAAGCATATATTTTTTAGCAACTTAAAACTTGACGTTGAAATCTTTATTTATATCAGGCGCGAAAATTTAACGGTTGAAAAGTTTTACGGAAATTTAAATTTATCAAACTTCATCTACTTACTCTACTTTTAAACTTATAATTTCTATCATTTAATTGCACTCGTACTTTATTTACAATTTTTAACTTCCCGCTAAAAATCTCAGATTTTCAAAAATCGGGAAGTTATTGTTTTCACCCCGTTTTACAAAAATCGAGTTTTCATCAGATCTCGACGTTTGAAGGTCACAGGAAACTTCCCTGACTATTTTTACGATGATGTCCGTACGTCTGTGTGTGTGTGTGTGTGTGTGTGTGTGTGTGTGTGTGTGTGTGTGTGTGTGTGTGTGTGTGTGTGTGTGTGTGTGTGTGTGTGTGTAGTCGATTATGTATGTATGTATGTATATATGTTGTGTGTGTGTGTGTGTGTGTGTGTGTGTGTGTGTGTGTGTGTGTGTGTGTGTGTGTGTGTGTGTGTGTGTGTGTGTATGTGTGTGTGTGTGTGTGTGTGTAAACCTCTTGTAACTTTTGAACGACTTGACCGATTTCATCGCGGTTGATGCCATTCGAAAGGGCTTCACTAAACTTAGATTTCCTGAAAATTTGAACCGATTCGGACCGGTAGATTTCAAGAAAATGCAAAAAAAGTGAAAAAAAAAGTTGTTTTTTTTTTTTTTTTTTAAATATCTCTGAATTGGCTGAACCGATCGGTCTCAAAAACTAATCAGCTCTTAACCTTGAAAACCCCCATCGATCGCCACCAAAAACGTAAGAATCGGTTGATGCGTTCGTGAGATATCGTTGTCGAAAAAAATCGTAAAAAGTGTTTTTTTGTAATAACTTCGAAATTCATGGCTCGATCGATTTAAACTTGAAAATTTTTCATGGAGCTTCAAAAACTACGTCGATTGCCGCCAACCGCGTGAAAATCGGTTCATTCATTCAAAAGTTATTGCCGTTTGAAAATTCAAAAAATTGTGTCTTTAAACTGCTATTAGAGTTTTGAGCTCGAAGAGCTCAAATTGACACAAAAATAATATTTTTGAGCTCGAAGAGCTCAAAAACGTAATGTGTAGTTTGAAGCGTTTAAGTACAAAATGAGCGGGAAGTTGCAGAGATGGCCTTTAGGGTGAACCGTTTTTCTAATTTTTTTTTTTTTAGTTATGAAATCATCTCATTACTTAATTCTACTTTTTTTTAATGAGCATTTTTAGATTTTTTATTCATTAAAAATGTCACTCGATCATAAAAATTAAAACAAATTATACAAAAAATTAAAAGTTAAATTTAAAATAAAAAAAATGATTCAAGGCTATCATTAATAGCTTCTGTAATTATAACAACTTATGTGTCTATCTTTTAGCATAGCATAACAATAAAAATCGAATAAAGTTGGAGGTACTCCAATTTAGCCTATACATCCCTCCCGGGCTAAGCGCATATACGTAACCAGTCGCCGTCAGAATCAAATCGCAGCTATTAGAAATGGGAGGAGTTTTCAAAAGAGTACTTAGACTTTGTTATTGTACTCACTTTCAAATACCCAACCAGCGTCAGCGTCGGCTATTAATATCGCGATAAATAGCAATCGCAGTATCAGCAATCAAATTAGCAAACTGACTTCAGTTCAAAATTACATCATTAAATAAAAATATAAAGATATAAATGCAAAGACGTAATTAAATTTTTTTTATAAATTCGACATTTAATTGTTGGCAATAAAATTATTATGCAAACTCATTTCAGCTATAATTTATGTGTGTCAATAATTAATTAACTTAATTATCTAATTAATGATTAACAATATCAAATATGCTCAGAATTATTAAACTAGAACTATAAGCGATTTAATAAAACATAAGCATAAATGCATAAGTAAGTGCGCTATTAAATATTGCAGTGACATAATGACGGTGAATATTATGTTCTCGGCGACCTCCACTCGGCAGTCATTATTGTTCACCAGAGATATCTGAACAACCAGTATAATATAGTATAGTTTGTTCCTGGTAATACAAGACACTCGACATGCTCCAAATGTCGTTTCCGGCTCGTAGCCACGCGACAAGTGCAACTAAACACACTACGCGCAACCACGTGGCTCTTGATTGTACTATTTTACTCACTGCTTTAATATAAATAATAAAATATTAAATAAATGTAACATTAATCCCCTATTGTATTATGTTTCTTTTATTATTATTATTATTATTATTATTATTATTTTTTTTTTTTTTTAATAAGATTAGGCTTAGATTAACATAAAAAATGTTTACATTTAATATTATATTTGTTATTATTATTATCATTGTTGTTTACATATTTTATTATATTCATAATATACTTATCGAAATACTTCACAGAGAGTAATCACACGGAATTTCTTATTCATATAAAAAAAAATAAATAAATAGTTCATCTTTTCAGAACGAGTTTTAATAAAAATTGAAATAAAACTCAAATATTCAACAACAAAGTACACCGTACAATTTGTCTTTATCAAATTGCATTCAAAGTAAACCAATAAAAAAATAAAATATATTGCTTTATTTGTGAAGTATTGATCATGCTTTTCATGTCAAACTTAAAAATATTTCGGCCAAAAAGTCCAATTCACGTTTTAACTTAAATTAAAACTCAAAAGTAGGCACTCGGTCCAATTCCGATCATGTGTTTGAAGTTGTCAACTGAGATCGCGCTTAACAGATCATACATACGTAAATTGTAATAATAATAAAAATGAGCTCTGTTGGTAAGACAAGGTGATAAATAAATTACAGCGGCGTTAAGCCAAAATTGAGCCAGCACGGAATGAAATGGACTTCCACTTGGAGGTGTGACTTGGTGCGTGTGCGAGCAGCATATGACCGCGGGAGAGTTATTTCGGATAGCACACGTCGTTGTCTATGTCTATTTCGTAGCGATGTGACAACCAGAGTACAGTTGCTGACTCTGTATTTAGCAGCCCCCTGTATTCCTTCATCCACTGTACTCCTCTCGAGTGTATTTTCACAGTCAGTTGGAAATAGTCAGTCGGAAATAATATTCACAGGGGTATACGTGGAGTATAATCGTCACAACTACGTACATTTACTCCACGTCAGTTTTAGAGTTAATAACTCTGTGATTTAACCGTTCGCTTTTTTCGCTATTTATTTTTATAAAAAAATTTTCTGTTTTTTTTTTTATTCATAATTATTCAAATAATAATAATAATAATAATAATAATAATAATAATAATAGTGAATATAAAAAGCAAAAGATATACAAAATTGAAAAGTGTATGTTTTATTTTCCTTACATCACTTGTCTGTTTGCCTTGGCAGTGAACGTTTAAATAGAATAGATCTTTTAAAAAAAAAATTTAATACTCATGTTTGTGCATATGTATATGTGTGTGTGCAATAAAACTGTTTAGTTGTCGTGTTGTATAATAGCCTGCTCGTAATGAACGTCACAGTCGTCACGTCATGGAGAGTTGCGTGAGCTCATTTTATTTTGAAGGAGTACCTACATGCAATGTAATAGTGTAAAGCGGGTACGATTGTTATAGGAACTAGTTTAACGTTAGAGTACAGTGTACAGAATTATAGTTGTAGGCTATTGGTACATACATATATATATATAAAATATATATGGATAATAGTGCGGTGTTGTACGGACTCGGTATTACACGAGAGAAGTGATATGCCAGTGCGTTGACGATGATTGCCACGACGTGGACGTACCACGATCTCGCTGCTCACTCGATGGTATTTTACATGCATACAAGTTATATTATCCATAATATACCAGTACACGATAAGCTTATATACAAATGTGTTGGTTGTAGTTATAATAGTATACTTCTTGATATATATTTTATATTGTGTATTGTATATTACATGTATATGTCTACGTAATAATTTCGAACTTGCTTCCCTCTTGGGTTATATTATTGTGGCAATTAATTACTTATCAGACGGAATGCCATCGCGTGCTTGCGAAAATAGTATACGCCTACTATGTTTCCTGTATAAATATATATTATATATATTTCGATTTAATATCCGCTTTTATGTTGTTATTATTTTTATTGTACTAAGTTGTTTTGTTAATTAACTTGAAATGGAAGATATTTATATTTAATTTTTTTAAAAGATCAGATCGGGTTTTTTATAGGGAAAATATTTTATTGAGTTATTAATTATACAAAATATTTCATTGAGTACTTGGCCACAGAGCATTCTTTTATGAAAACATATTTCACAGGAAATTTTATAAATTCTTTTAATTAATTTTGAAAGATATTTCACTTTGGTAAAAAATTTTTCAGTAATAAATGTGATCAATTTTATGAAATATTTTGTTGAGAACTTTATTATAAAAAATTTCTTTGAAAGAATTTTCATTCATTATAAAAAGTATGCTTTGGGCAAAAAATTCAATCTCTTTCCATCAATAATAATTAAATAATATTAAATTTCACATATTTTTATTTTAATACATAATTTTCAACAATGAATAAAATTATTTAAAAAATAATCCGTCTATTCAAGACGTAACAAAATATCTATTGTATACTTTTCAACAACAATACTTAATATGTAAAATGATAATCTGTTAACAGGCAAACGGGGATGATGACTGGGAGTACGAAGAAATCATACTGGAGCGCGGTGGCGCGGGTCTGGGATTCAGCATCGCCGGTGGGACTGACAATCCTCACTTTGGCAACGATACTGCAATTTATATCACAAAACTTATACCAGGCGGTGCAGCATCAGCAGACGGCCGTTTGCGTGTCAATGACACGATACTCCAGGTGAATGAGGTGTCAGTTGTCGACGTTCCTCATGCATCGGCCGTCGACGCGCTCAAAAAAGCCGGCAATACTGTTAAACTGGTAAGTTCTAAAATATAAAAAAAAAACTCAACAATTTAAATCGACAATTTAAATTTTATTTTTGTCATCTGAACAATATATTGCTCATACTCATAGCATTGTCAAATGTATACTTTAATACTTTAACACTTGACATCTCTTAAACATTTTTTATCCAGTACCATTTCTCACTTAAGTGACTGGTCGTACGCCCGCGGCCGACGCGCATTAATATCTCTCTCACCGAGAAACTTCTCTCGACTTACGGAAGACTTCTTGTATCTGACGTGGAATGAAGGATGGTCTCGCGGGTCTACCCTGGAGTAAATGCCCCAGAATCCTTGACTTTTTCAAGAAAAAATATTTCTAAACGTCAATTATTAGTTTTTCTTAAAAGAAGAAGAAGAAAAGATTTTTTTATTTAATAAAAATGAGGTTAATTATCGTAAAAAGTAATTCTTACACAACTCGGAAAAAAAAGTAAATTGATTGAGTCCTCGGGTGGGTCTATTGGGAATGTCAAGGGTCCAATAGTAAGATCTCTTTCTAAATGTCCAATTATCGTTTAGAGACTCGATCGAATGGCCATATATCGTTCCGTTGTATCCAGAATTGTTGGGATTGGAAAAAGTCTCTCTACTTTCGATGTACATCAATGTATTTATATATGTATATATCCATGTGATGCTTTTTTCACTCCCTAAGAGTTTGTTTTTTTTTCTCTCAGGAGAACGCGACTGTTCAGTCAACTCCCTTATCCCGGTAAACTTTTTTTCTGCTGCTCGTGATATTTGAAAAGAAATGGCTGACGTAGCTACGAATCGATGCGTCGATTTTTGTGAATTACTACTATACTCTATATACTAACTTATATACATACACATATACAAGTACACGTACATATAAAAACCAATTTTATATCACAACATTTTCTGACATATTACTTTAGATATAAATCATTGATCCATTTCGATAAACACGATATTGCTTTTGTATGCTCATTGTCTTTTTATACTCTTTTATACAGACACACATCGCAATATATTTATCTATGTTTTATAGATATATTCTATACTGCAATAACATTCATTTTTACTCGATAAAATAAACTCACGCGTTTATATTAGTACTAATATTTTTACGCTCATACAACCACATAAAATTAAGTAAACATCGCGTATCAAAGCGTATAATACGTTTAGTTTTTATTCTTTAAAATTTTGTATAATCTATTTATTTTTATAATGATAAATTGTAGTTTTAAAATACTTAAAAAATGCTGTGATAGAGAATTAAACTATAAATTAGGAAATTATTTTCTATGATTTCTAACAAGTTCAAAATAAAAATAGAGAGATTATAAAAGTTTATTTTATAAAACCGTGAATTTTAGTTTCCTAAATTAAAATTTTTTATTACAATTAAAATCTAGAAACTTTAGATTGTAATATTTTACTTGATTAAAAATTATAATTAATATTATTGTATGGATATCGTATGCTTGTAAAATTATTCATTTTATTTATATAAAAGCATTGATAAAAGAATTAACTGGATTCAACAGAGAAAGCGTTAGACAAAAAAATCATTTTTAAGAATTTCATTGTTTTATATCGCGACAAAAATTCTTGAATCAAGTGAATTAAATTTACTAAAATCAAAAAGAAATTCTCAGTTAAAAAATTTCTCTTTTGAATAAATTTAATTTTTATTTATCAATGTCAAGCTAATAAAAGTGTATTAAAAAGTAACTATAATCTATTTATTTATACTTTCAGTACGTACGAAGACGAAGGCACCTACATTTGACAGAAATCGAATTAATAAAAGGGTCAAAAGGGCTTGGATTCAGTATTGCCGGTGGTATTGGCAATCAGCACATACCCGGTGATAATGGAATCTACGTCACGAAAATTATGGATGGCGGAGCAGCACAGGTTGATGGACGGCTCATCGTAGGTGACAAATTAGTCGCTGTCAGAAATAGTTTGGTAAGTTAAATATAATTTCTGCCTAATAATTGCCTACTGCTCAAATAGAAAAAAAAAAGTTTTTTAATGACAATTAATAACCGAGTAAAAAAAATAGCAACAATCTTGAAGCGGTAATTTATCACAGGCGGACTGTTTTATTGGTCCGTCAGAAAAAAAAAGATTTACCTTTTTCTTTTTCGCTCACTTGAACTTCTCTGGCCTATATCTGTTTCCGTATTTATATCTATATTTCTACAAGTGTCGTAGTGTTTACTATAGCGGTTCGCAACAAATGGATGGTTAAGTGCGGATGGGAGAAATAGATTAGGCCGTGGAGTTAGGTCACCGTGGCGGTAATTGATAGCTTTGGGTAAAGACCTACCGTCTGCACGTAGCACAATCTACTGGAAAGCCTTTTCGCGATTTTATACTTTGACGACTCCCCCACGTATTTCGGTTTTCGCAATAGACCGATTTATCTTGGTCATCCCTTGGGATCTCCCGCTGTTATCCAAAGGGCAAATGAAAAAAAAAAAAGAAAAAAAAACTCCTATAAAATAGAATAGAATAAAATATAAAATACTAAATCCACCAGTTTCAACCAAATAGATATTTTATTATTCAATTCTCGAATCCCCATCAAACAACTTTTCCGATAAATTTTAAATTACCATAAATTTTAAGTGCACCCTCCCCTAAATATATATAAAACAAACCGCTAAAAATTTAAACGAATTAATTAAATGAAAAACTAAAAAGCTTCTGATATAATAGAACGAGTTGAAACTTTAAATTCTCCATTAGTTTGTCAAAAGTTTATGACCACCTGTGCGACCGGAAGAGTACGAGTTTGCGATTCGTTGGGCTTATAATCGCATTTCCGATGTAACAAATGAGAATGGAAGCGAAAAATTTTTTTCTTTCTTCTTGTTCTTCCTTTTTATCTTTATGTATATATATATATATATATATATATATATATATATATATATATATATATATATATATAAACTTTTTATATTTTTTGTTACGGTGTACTAACCTAGTGTACTAACGACGTCGCAATAATGACCGCCGTTAGTGCGCCAGCGTTTTCGTTCGCCAAAAGGAACTTCTCACTTCAGACAGTGGCAATAAGAAAGCCCATTATCGATCCCAACCACTTACTTGCTTGGTCTCTTGCTTCTTGTTTTCAAACAAACTATCCGTCTTTTTTTTCCCGGATATATCTCTATTTCTATCTCTACCTCTATTATTTTAGAAGCCCCCCTACGAAACTACCCTGTACCATCCGTGTCCAGATGCTTCTTGTCGTCTCGCAAGTAATTCGCCGCGGTAATTAGTTGTTCGTTGCAAGCTCGGGCTAAATAATACGCTGCTACTGTATTGCATGCAGACTTGTTGTAAATATTTAACAATTAAGAAATTTATTATTGTTATTATAATAATTATTCGAGTTAATATAATTGACATTGATTTCTTCAAGGAGTATTTGAGCTCAGAGAAAAAACAAAAAATATTTTTTACTATTTCTTTTTTATTTATTCGTATTTTAAGACTATGCAGAAATATTTTAAATAAAAAAATTAAAATCTTTTGAAATATTTCTTTAACTACATTTTTTAACATAATGTTAACCTTTGTTTATTCTTATGACCCAAGCGACACAAAAATTTTTTTTGCTAATGTTTTGTTGAATTTAACCTTTGATATGTAAATTTTAAAAATATAAAAAAAAAAGTTTTTTTTGATTTTTAAAAATTTCTAGACTAGATTCTTTTTAATATCTTAGAAAAAAATTAATTAAACTAAATATGATGCTTATTTGTTTACAGGGTGATAAAAACTTGGAGAATGTAACACACGAAGAAGCAGTGGCGACTTTGAAGGCGACTCAAGACAGGGTAGTTTTGCTGGTCGCCAAACCGGAAGGCGTATTGCCTCCGCCACCGCCGGCATCAGACCACTCGCTATCACCCCAACCACGTAAGCACACGTTACTCAACGAGACCACTTTATTTAGTTGTTTTTATAATATTTTTATTTTTTTATTCTTGGGACTTTCTTCACCCAGCGTGGCATGCTTTTCACACGCCAAGCCCGCCAGTAACAGCAACACCGCCAAACCCCGGTTTCGCACAAAGTATACAGACTCAAAAGAAAACTCAGTCTCTGAAAAGTACATAACTTTAGCGAAAATTTTTCATTGCCTTTAGTTGAAACGTTCAAAACCAGAAACCGTCTACGGCCTTCCGCTCGATAAAAGTTTCACGCCGCGCGAGATAAAACCACCTTTACTTGGCATGTACACCCGGTCAATTCTCTTTTGTTTGGAATCTCTGGCATGAAAAACTAAAATCTCACCCCTTCGAGCCACAGCACCCTATTATTTTTAACGTCAGCGCCTGAAAAACGTACATACAATTTAATATAAATTATAAATTATAAATTTAGACGGAACCTATTTGAATAAATGAATAAACAAATATACACTTAGAGATTGTAAAAGAAAAAAAATTTAATTAAAATCACTTTATTTTTAATTACTCATCATTCATCGGGAACGATTTTTTTCAATTACACAAAAATAATAGAAGAAGTGAATAAAAAGAAAGTCACTCGCTTCACATAAAATTAAAAATTTATTTTCTTTTATTTTAATTACCGAGGACATACGTTTCGCTTGATTAAAATGTACTTTCTTTTGTTTCCGCTCTTATTTCTTAAGGTAAACAAAATGGCTCCGTAACTGCATTGGAAAATAATTCACTGGCGTATTCACAAGAATCGCGGCATGCTTCCTCCCTGGCACTCCATGGAGCGGTAACACCACGAGCAGTATCTCAGGAAGACATCTCACGGTGAGCTCAATATATTTATTTATTTCTTTCGAGATTTAAAATTTATTACTTTTTCAAGGGTCTCTTAGTGCTTATAAAATCCATTTACCAGATAAACAAATATTCCTGTCTTTGTAAATTAAATCATTTGCGCATCAAGAAAAATTTTTATAAAAACTTATTACGATTTCTATAAAAACAAAATATTTTTCTTCTTTTTGTTACACAACAGAAAGTAAGGTAATGAAGAGAAGTAATCATTACTGAGCTTGATACACTGAAAAAAAAATTAACTTGATTCAAGAGAAAAATTCTTGAACCAAGAATATAATTTTGAAAAGGGTAATTGTCTTGAATCAAGACGAAAAATTCTTGAATCAAGTAAAATTTCCTTAAATCAAGAATTTTTCTCCTCAAATCAAGAATATTAAGTTCTTCATAATTATATACTTGATTAAAGAACATTTTTTTTTCTGTGTAGACATTATTATACCCGTACAAATTAATTATTATTAAACCGGTACAAAAAAAAATTTAGTTTAATAATTTCTTTCTAAAATTCATAATGCGAAACAAAATTAGGGCTTTATAATAAATTTATCAACAATCTATTTCAATTTTCTTAAAAAAATATATGAAATTTTTTCCCTAGTAAGATCAACTTGCAAAAAAAAACTTTATCTATTAATACAAGAAAAATGAATTAGTTTTTTAGGTGAATTTATCACAAAATGATATTTTTATTTAAAAAAGAAATTTACAATGAATTAAAAAATTTTTTTCCTGAAATAATTTTCTTCCGATATTGACAAATCCATTAATAAAAAAAAAACTTTCTATGATTGTAAAATAAGAGAAAAAACTGACTCGAGTGAAGCGAATCGACCAGAATTTGAAACCTAAAGTCCAGTTAATTATGCATACGGTAGACTGGACATTGGCAGTATGTGTATCAGAATTGGCGATAGATATAGCAAGAGGGAGGACGGTCAGGGGACATGAGAAGGGCCGGTAGGAATTATGCTAGCCACTGCTCGAGCTAATTGCCAATGGATTAAGGGCTTATCGAATAGACCAGGCATTGGATCGGACACGATATACTGATCGGAGTGTAGTTGTGCATCCTTCCATTGACCTGTCGCTCACTATTAACCCCATCGAGCTCTAAAGTCACGTGCACAACACACATCCTTAACCACTATTGTTGTCTTGTCATTGTAATTGAGAAATTAAACCTCACAACACCAGAATCTTCTTAATCTTTATTTCTAAATCTCTTCAGTATTAGTATTAGAGCTTTCACTGCTTTGTAACCAGCACAACACCGGCTTAAATCTTTCGCTCTTATCTAATTAATCTGAAGGTTTATGTCTTATTTTATTGCAACTCCAACGTCATTTTTAAGTATTGATTTTAACTTAAATTTTAATAGCAAAAAATTTATTGCTCAAGAGTTATACCAGGCGACAGACGTTTGAAATTTTTATTGTCATAGTAATAATAATAATAATAATAATATAATTTAGTCAACCAGAACGAGTACCAGCAATCCATAGAAAAAGGTTCTTATTGCGAGAATTAGCTTATCTTGTAATGAGAAGTAAAACGGGGTAGAGTTGTAAAAAATGAGTGGCACTCGTTTGTACGTACTCAAACGAAATTTTTTACCCCCCATTCATGTTCTTTAATATAATAAGTCAGGAGAAAAAAATTCAACTTCGTCTTGAAACTTTTATTGAGGCAATAAGAAATGAAATAACGAGGAAAAAAATGAAACCTTGCGAAAAAAACCCAACACTAAAAGGTTACACTTTTTATGAAAAATAAAAAACATTTGAAATATTGTTTATGCAAAGTGTTAAACCCCCGTCAGGCTTCGGTCCATTAAATGGAATTATTATTTTTTTTTAGAATTCGATTTAAGTAGGATCTTGAAATACGTTTTTTCGAATAAAATTTTTCTCCCTTATTTTTTTATATTACACGGAAAAAAAAATATCGCTCTCAGAGCTATATTGTAATGCTACAGTAACTATCCCCACTCGACTAACTGTTAGAGAGTTACTAGAGCCATCTAGTAGATCGCTCTGGCAGGTATACAGTAGATGGCTAAAATAGCTAAACCGTTGAGCTGGGAGAGCAATACGGGATTGCTGTGAGGGGTAAACGCCTCGTTGAAGTCTCAGATTCTGCGCGCAGTCTTGTTTGTTGACATATTTTATAACCATTAAAATTAATATAATTATTTACTAGCAATTTGTAGTTAATATGCGACTGTCAAGAGTTATGGATTATAATTAAAAAAACTTTGGCTTATTAATTTTTTGTTTTTTCCAATAGAGATATTAATAGTTTGGGTACTTTTTAAATAAATTTGAAAATAATTAGTGCAATGAGAAAATCAAATCCGAATAATTTAATGAAAAATGTGGTGGAGCAAATTTATAGAACCAACAAATTATTTAAAACCCCTTCCGAAATTCTAAAAAACAGTCGAAATATTTAAAACACATGAATGTGTGTAGAAACATTTAATTTGTATAATTTTTTTTAAAATGGTACATGAAAAATAAATAAATATTATCAAAAATGTGATACTAAAGTGTCAATTTTTTTTTTTAATTTTATAACAAATCAATGACAGTAAAAAATGCTTTTAAAAATTTTCACTAAGAATTTTTTTTTAATTCTCACATGTGGAATTTTTTTATTAAATTTTTTACGTAATAATTTTATTGCTAAAAAATTCTAAAAAAATTTCTAATGTCTTTCAACTTGTGTCATTCAAAAACTTGATAATTTAATATGTAATCTATTTTTTAATTCTTAATTACTTATTTTTTTTTTATTTATCCATACAATTTTTAAATAAAAATTAACAAAAGATTAGAAGAATGAAATGTTTTGATTTTATAATCATGAGGTTTGAGGTTGGTTGTTCATATTTTATGACAAATAAATACTTATCAATAAATTGATTTTTGTAATCAGTAAGATTCCATTCTTGTAAAATTTTTCCTACCCACGAATCCATATTTAATTAAAACAAATATTTAAGTCATTTTTTTTTAACGTGAATTACGCGTATGAAAAATTATTACATAATTTTTGTAATAAGTAGTCGACTAAGGAATACAAGAAAAACAAATATAAATGATGCTGTGAAGCGGTAAAGAATAGAAGTTACGGATAATTATTACGTGAAGCGTTCCAACATTCACGTAACAGGATAATTGGTAGGAAAGGATTGAGAAAGGATTTTGGAGAGGATCATCTTAATGTGAGTGTATAGAATATGCGAGAAAAAATTATTAGATAGCTCGGACTGGGATTCGAACTTAGAACCTTCCGAAGACATGTCGGCTACTCTACCATTTGAGCTATCCGGCCTATACTAAATTTCCTTTCACTTATTCTATATACATTAAGCCACACCGTCCATCTTACGGCTAGCATTTATAACAAATATAAATAATGCTGTGAAGCGGGAAAGAATAGGAGTTACGGTATAATTATTACGTGAAGCGTTATTAGTATTATCCGTAGTCTTCTCCCAAAACTATCAACGTTTCATCGTAAAAAATATATTTATTACCATTTATATATAAGTATAAATTTTTCAATAATCCCTTTTGTCTCTGAGATACTTGTCGAAACATTTTCACTTATGCGCGCAATAAAGATTTTGTTTGATCAGTAAAGCGTGAAAGAAGAAATTCTTCTCAAGTAAAGAAATTTTCGTTGTATGAAGATGTATGACAAAGACTTTAAGTTTATTAGATGTACACATATGTATGTATGCATGTATAAATGTCCTCTCTCATATGCCGTTATAACAATAATAAATCCCAATGACAGCCCTCTCGTAATACGCCGAAAGTACTATACTCATGCCGTAGATATTCATACGTCATATTTAAACCCCGGACAAACGGCTTAAACAAACTTCCTGGTTATCTGGGTACCCACGATCTATGGTTTTGATATTATTATTATTATTATTATTATTATTATTACTTTTAAGTTAAATTATGGATACTTTATTCCCGACATAATTAATTGACCGGTATTTCAAAGTAATTTACCGCAATAATTCCATACTTTTTCTTTTTCTATTATCTTTATCATAAATCACAGAATTTTGTGATAAAAATATTAAGATAGTATTTTACTTTGAAATTTTACTTTTATTATAATTTTTCAACAAAAATCAGTTAAGCAATATGCAATTTTGTCGCGACAATTTTGTTATTATTGTAGGAAAATTAAAAATCCTTCTTTAGCCAGTTGCTGGTAAAATATTGAACAAAATTTAAAATATTAAAAAAGTAAAAAATATAAAATACAATTTTTTTTAGTGTATTTCAAAAATTAAAAAAATTTTTTTCGAGTGCCCACAGTAAAAAAAATACTGCTTCAATATAAGTTAATATCATAAAATGTAAGAGTTAAATTTATAAATTATTTTTATTTATTTTTTTCCTCGGATTCAACAAAAAATATGTATGTGTATCAGAGTACACAGGTAAGAAGTAAAACTTCTTTATGACACATCATTTTTCTACTATTTATAACTTCATAGAAATTGGGTAGATAAAGCTTAAGAAAAAAAATTTTTTCCATATTAAATTAAAGATATTTCAATATTATAATAACCATGCATACAGATAATAAGAGTAATTCATTTTATCATTGCACTTATGATAATTATTGTATTTCATCGCATTATAATTAACATTGTTGTCATTATTTAGACTATGCCATTATTTAATCTAAAAATTATTTAATCAGTTTATAAAAATTATATAAAAAACATTAATATTCAAATCTTATGTCATAACATAGTAAAAATAATTAAAAGCAGATATTTAATAACTTACACACTGTTTGATTTTTAAATTATTATTTAATTTGTTGTTTTAATTGTTTTTAGAATTAATAATAATTACTAAATTAATTCTTTACGTCGCTATACGAAGCTTCAATAGAAACAAACAACATGGCGCGTAACCGAAAATCGTGACG